TGGAAGCTCCAGCAGCAGCAGCAGCAACTTTCCGACTGCTGGCAGAGGTGGCCATGTTGCGCCGTCTGCTTTGAGCAGGTCCCCAACGGGCATCTCAATTCCGAGGCGCAGCCATCTGCCACGGTTGAATCCGCGCATGGTCATCCTTCCGAAGCCGCATATCTCGAGCATCTCCTCTGCTGCCCCCAGTTGGCGGTGATGGTGTCGCCACTGCAGCTGTGGCAGCTGCATCCGCTGGTGATGGCTGGTATGGTGGCCGCTGTGGATGTGGGCACAAGGTTGTGAACGTCAGAGGCTTAGAAATCTAGTCGGTGGCTTTGCTTGTCTTGGTCACCATGGCATGATGCCTTATTGGGCCCTCTAGACATGCAGATTCATGTTAACGGTTGGGCTCGCAGCTGGTGTGTACCTGGGGACTGGTCATTGCTGGGCATTTGCTCATTTGCTGGTGTTGCAGGTTGTGTAGATATAGGCACAGATGGGCATGTATCTGTAAGTGCGCTGAGTTGTACAAGGAAACAGCTACAGATATGAGTGGTAGCATGGGCGGAGTAGGTTTGTACGGCTGAATATGTGTACACTTGTGTACGGCTGAATACATGCCTTGGCATCTCTGAACGGGCCTGCATGTGTTGGACTGCTGTTGGGGGTGCTGGCTGTGAGGTGTTTGCAGCTCAACAGTGGGTGTACTGCTTTCAGGAAGGGAGGCGCGCTGGGGCAGCAAAGTGATGTTGTATGAGTAGATTGTTTGGCAAGCAAGGGTGTGAGAAGTCATTGCAATTGTGTACTTTGAGGGCAGGTGGCACAGGCTGGCACGGACCTCCTGGATTGGAGTGTAGTGTGATTGCATGTTGACCTTGCCCTGGACATGAACCTGTGGGATGGAGGAGGGGAAAAGGATGTCGATCCTGGCACGCGGCACTTGATTGTAAAGTGATGCAACATGAGGCAGACAGACAGTGTGCCTGCAATGGGATGGTCATGTAAGTGCCTTAATAATGAGGAGGCATGGCAAGTCCGTGCAGCACCTAAGCTTGACCTGTTAAACAGGCTCGATAGACGGTCATTGGCAAAGAAGTGGTCAGAGACTTTGCTGTGCGGGTGTATGGNGGCTGCATTCAAAACAAAAGCAAAACAACACTTACTAAATGATGAACCCAAAACGATTAGCATGGTGCTTTCCTTGAGATACCTGTCACGTGCTACACCGTCATGCATGAAG